GTGCTGGTTGATGCGGATGCTTAGTAGCAGTCCCAGAGCGTCGTATGACTCAGCGGTGAGTGTCTTGGTGAGAGTTTTGCCCAACGCAAATGTCGGTTCGAAGATGTAGTTGAACTGCCGTGACACCGCTTGCAGAGATAACGGCGGAGAGAAGAAGGCGGCTAAGAATGTGTACTCCGCGGTGGCATTGTCTATAAGCGCCAGGTTAAAATTCCTGAAAGGCACCTCTAGGTAATGTGTTGTCTGGTCTTCCTCGGCCAGGTAAGAAGATATCGCGGCAGCGTTACCCGATTTCAGGAGATCAATACGTCGTCCCAAGTTGAAGGCATCGTGAGGAGGCCCAGCTGGTTTGGTGGCAGATAATACAGTGGCTCTCCGCGTGGGTTCGTCGTGCCCAAGAACATCGTTCTTGTCGAGAACGTGCAGCTTTAGCTTTTCCAACGCCCTTTGATATCGTCCGAACTGGTTTGCGTAGTACCATCGCATAGTATTCATATAAGCCTGACTGATCTCTTCTGCAAGCGTGGCATGATGCTTGTGCAAGAAGGTGTATAAGTCTTTGAACTTCAAGAAGTTTTGCTGTTGGATTATTTGGGCGTTGATGTGAGGGGATCGTAAGGCCTTGATCTGGGCGACAATGAAGTCCCGTATCCGCTCGACGGCTTTCATGGTCAGTTTCTCCAGCAGAGGGCCAAGGTCTGCCCAAGCCTTGCTCTCTCCCTGGTTCGAAATTGACTTTTTGTATGCTGTAGCTCGCTTGTCCACTTCCGCCAGCATCCTCACCCACGTCTCGTCGATTTGGCCCTCGGATATCTTCGACACCACATGTGGGGAGACGCTGAGCTCCTCAACAACTGGACCAAAAGCCTTTTCAACTGCTTTTCGATTGTCTAGCCTTACGTTCATCGCCGCCGAACGAGATTGCAGGCTTTCGATATCCGCGGAGACGGCCGCGAGGTCATTACGGAAGCTCGTCAGGTTGGTCTCCACTGAGCCTAGAACCCCATCGCAAGCTGCAATTGATCGATGCAAGTCCTCGAATTGGGATTTATTCGCTTCAACTAAACTCAAAGATTAGCGATCTGCGAACAGTTGGGCCAGCCAATAGGGAGCACATACACTCCTCTGCGGTTTGCCGCCGGTAGCTATCCGCGTAGTTTGTATCGATCTCATCGGAGCTTGCGAGCTCTCGTAAGCTCAGACCTTCGAAATGGAAGTCTAGTTCGAGATCGTCCTCGGTTATCGTGGCCGTTGTTGTCTCGGATATGGGTGCTGTATCAAGGATCTGGCCCAAGATCTCGATCGAATCCGGTCCATCGTAGGTAGTCTGGGACTGTTTCAAGCCGGAACCATTGACTCTGCGTGAAGCTAGGAAAGAGCTCGAGGAATCGTTGGAGACAAGGGAGAGTTGCGAGCCTCTTGGTGTGATGCCAGGTCGCTGCGAGGTTACGTAGGGGCTGCTGGAGGTTCGTCGCGGAAGAGGAGAGTATGGTCGACTGCCGGGCTGCGACGCTGAGGGAGACGAGTTCGACTGCGCTGCAAGTCGATCAAGCCACATGGTGGACTTGTGGTATGGAGAAGCTAAGAAGCGATGTGGTCGACAGGTCGGAGCACCATGTCATCGAGGGATCCTAAATCGCACGGGTGATGTTGTAGAATCGAGAGATCGGCGACTGGCTTCTTGGAAAGATGTACACCTGTGACTTTGGTTACCTTACCCCAGGAGACAGTAAGGTAGACAAGGCTGGGAGGCCTTAGGAGAGCGACGTGTTCTCATTGGGTGATCGATCAGTGACAGTCACCAGCCACAAAGATCGTACCCACGGGAGCTTCCTGTGGCGCGGCAGGGGTCGGGCCCTTTGTCTTCGAGGGGTCGAAGTCTGGAAAGTGCGGGGCAGAATTCTGAGTGAGGGCCGGCGGCAAACAACCTGGAAACGTGCGGGGCAGGGACTTGGGATGGGCGATTGAAGAGCAATTAACAACCCATTGATGCGTCTAGTATGGATGAGAGAGAGGCTGCACACATGTCGTGCAGATTCCGCGACATCTCCAAGGTAACCGTAGCTCGAACTGCTGAAATTGTCTCGGGGGGAAGCTCCTGCATGTTACAATGTGAAGGCATATAGTTGGGCGCGAATAGGTGCGCAAATCTCAGGGAGGGTGGTTGGCCTGCTGCCGTCTTACATACGACAGGAGCTGGGTACGGAAGAACCTGCCACAATGTCCGGACAATGATATCCCTGGTAATATCTACCTTACCTAGTCGGGTAGGTATCCAGGCACGACAGTTTCCCGTCAAGTTGGTAGGAACTCCGGCGCATACCGTCAAGATCCATTCCCGTAGTCCGGACCTTCTGTCGCCAAAGTGCTAATAATAACGGAGGTCAACGAAGATGGCAGGTAGGCAAGCAAGGGTCACTGGCCCACGAGGTTTTGGCATGGCGGCATTAGCGCCCAAAAAAGGTTGTTGCCACAGGCCGGTGGACTGTCCTGTGCCCATGTGCTTCATTGTCCTTCGGGAAACCCTGTGAAGGGGAAGTCATTTCGACAGATTGAGTCTTCGGACACGGGAGGGAAACCTTCAGCCATAGACCTCAGTGGCACCCTCGCCGGTCTGGCCTGGCGTGCCTAGCTGGATCGGATAGGGCATTCCACAGGCGGTCAGCGGCCTGAATATTAAGCAGGCGTCCGGGCAGTTGTTAGGTTGCGGAATAGGAGCTCCAGCTCCTGCGGTGTGTGGTGCTTTCGGCGTGGGAAGGTAGATGGCAGACGGGAGAACCTAGATGGGTACTTTGTTCACCGCAGAGTCATCCACCGACGACAATGTCACTCGGGGAGGGGCCTGACAGATTCAATCTGCGAAAAGAAAGAGAAGAAAGCCCACACTCCACCTTTTTTTCACTGCGAAAGTGCTCCCTGCACCTGTCCCACCCAACGCTTGAGAGGCCACGGACAGACAGAGAGAGGGGCGCGAATCTGGGCCTAGGAGTGAAAAAAACCAATAATAAAACCAGGAAAAAAATTATCTACTCCCGCCTCGCCTTCCTTTTTTCCCCTCCATTTCCCCCCTCTGCCCGCTCTCTTCCTTTCACAACTCTCCCCCCTCAAAAAAATATCAGCCGTCTTTAGCTGGGTAATTCCGCCTGTCGATATCTTCCCTTCGATTTTTTAGACATCTTCCAGTCAATCCTTCAAAATGTCCAACGACGACGCCCAGGTGAGTCTTTTGCGACAGCTCTATTCCCCTCCGTGCCCTGTATCTTTTGGTGGTGGTGTTGGCGGTGGTCGAATGCGATTGATGTCGGCTGCTTTGGCGAAAATCGACCACCCCGCATCCACATTGGCGAGAGAGCCCCGCGGATGCTTCAACGCACCACGGCTCTGCACAGAAACTCAGGCAACACACGACGCATACGAGCATCAAATACCACACCAATCTCGACTCCACCCTGCCGCCATCATTATCATCATGTCGAACGAACGCACATATTTTGAGTTGGCCAAATCGCTAACGCATCGTCTCCCAACAGCATGAGATGACCTTCGAGTCCACCGACGCCGGTGCGTCTCTCACCTTCCCCATGCAGTGCTCTGCTCTGCGCAAGAACGGTCACGTCGTCATCAAGGGCCGCCCCTGCAAGATCGTCGACATGTCTACCTCCAAGACTGGCAAGCACGGTCACGCCAAGGTTCACTTGGTCGCCATCGACATCTTCACCGGCAAGAAGCTTGAGGATCTTTCTCCCTCCACCCACAACATGGACGTCCCCAACGTCTCCCGCAAGGAGTTCCAGCTCGTACGTTGCCACAAATCTTCTCATATGCCCTAAATACTCCTTGTATGCTAACAGACACCCTTCTCAGATTGACATCTCCGACGATGGTTTCCTCTCCCTCATGAACGACGACGGTGACCTCAAGGACGATGTCCGTCTTCCCGACGGCGAGATTGGTGACAAGATCAACAAGCTGTTCAAGGTTGACGAGAAGGACACCAGTAAGACCTCCCACTCCTCACAACGAGCTCGCTGCGCAGCACAAGAGAGATCCAAACTAACACACAACTACAGACGTCGTCATTCTTACCGCCATGGGCGAGGAGGCCGCCGTCGAGGCCAAGGAGGCCCCCAAGCAGGGTTAAGCGCTGCATCTCTACCATATCATCAGACAATGACTTCCACAAGCGCTCAATTCAAGCGGCCTTGCTGGCAGATGTTGGCAGACTGGGGACATTTCTTGCGATATTTCTTGGCGCTTCGAAATTAACGGTATCCCCGTCAGTCGTTGCGTAGGCTATATCTGGACAGGACTTGATACTGGGTACGCGAACTTGACAACTGCAAGACATGTCGCACGACTTTTTTCCTTTGTTTTGTCTGTCCCACAGACTCTTAACGACGATCAGACTAGCAATGGGATAGGTGAAAAAAAATGGGAGAGCCTCGCGGTGGCAGCAGATTTGTCCGATGGAAAAGCGGTACATATCTCCACCACGCGGTCTCTGTTTTTCGTTCAAACTTTACGTACAGATCTAGTGAAAGTGCCAAATATGTAATGTCCGTGACTATGATTCTACTACAAGTTATTGTCTCTGACCTGAAATCCATATGCCACATCTTCTATAGCATGTGGCGCTTTACTCGGCTCACTTTCTGATGGCGGCTTAGCTAGCTATAACCAGCTTGACTGTCGTTGATAGTTAGTATGAGTGAGTCAGACTCAGCTGTTCAGACTATGCCACACAGCAATGCTACTTATCTGTAAATAGAAACTTACAATCTGCCAAACTACCATTCCTCGTTGGCACCTTGAAGCCTTGATTCGAGGATAACATAAATCGGGGGCTGTATTGTGACGAATTGCCTACCAGGTCCCTGCCTAGTAAAGGTGCATCCCCAGACACGGGCGCCGCGCACTGTCTAAAACTTCACCAATCCGGGGACGATTTTGCCCAGAACAACTTTTCAACAAAGTACCATCAACAAATCAGTCAACGCGCCATGGCTCCAGAGAGGGACCTTCATAAGTTTCCAAAAGGAGAACGCTGTGAATTCTGCGGCTCTCGTAAATGGTATCTCGAAAATGGTTTGAGATTCTGCGCCAAGGAAGGCCACCAACTTCAAGTTTGTTTAAGCCATACTATGCACCTCATGTGATTAGCCGCATCTCACACTCTACCCCAGGGTTATGTCGAATTTGATCTCGGCGATGAGGACTTCGGTCAGAAAGGCCGCGTGGCTCGGAAGGAGAAGCAGGCCAAAGAGCGGATCAGACGAGTTCTCACCGGCCAACAAGCACGAGATCTGTACCTTGAGTGCCTGCAGCTTATCCTCAGAGAGCAGGTGAATTGGCTAGTGGCCGCCAAGGAGCATAAACCAGAACTTGAGACGGTTGTCCGCGATCTTTGGGATCTCCGCATCTCCGGAGCTGCGACAATTGTTCAGGATGACTCGGCCTCTGAGGGAGAGCCCACGCTTTTCAGCTCGCAACTCGACCTCGCTCAGGACGAGCAACACCAGTCTCGGAACAAACGAGCACAGAGCTGGACTGGAGAGAATGGGAGCGAGTGGCCGGCACCTCGAATGATTGACACATTAGGCCTCTGCTTCCTGGGGTGCATGTTGCTGAGGATACCCACGCGAGTTGGTGACTTTTGCAAGTGGGCGAGAGGGGGAAGCATCCCGTATAAAGAAGCTGTTGGTACTACCTTCAACCGTTCCCAGATGTTCTCTAACTAGTCACAGTATCGCCAGCTGCCTCAGGAGATGCGTGATCGATTGCCAACCGGGTATACAACACCACTCAAGTCGGCAAACCTAGCTGCGTTCAATAATGGAGAATTGCATGCTTCGGTCATGAACCTGGCCTTATCGTATCATCTCAATTACAGCATGATATTCCCACCGCTCAACGATGTCCTGATGACATTGCAGTATGCCCGTGAGCTTGGCTTGCCAGGTAGGTCCTATAGCCGTGCCAAGGGATGAACTCGACTAATGACTCCCAGTTGAGACGGTAGCAATTGCGCGCCGCGTTCCGCCCATCGCCAATCTAGCCTTCAGTTTTCCACTAGAGAAGACCCGACTCCGTCTCATAAATCAGCCAGAAATTCTACTCGTCACCATACTTGTGCTTGCAGCGATGCACTGTTTCCCATTCGAGGACAAGATGCCAGCTCCTCGAGACGAGAACAACTTCATCCTACCTAAGCTTGACTGGAAAGAGTGGAAGAGGATAATGACTGCAGCCTTGGCTACAGATGAAGCTACATCTACCGTTGACTACACAGACGTTACGGCGTCTCAGATCACATCGATGAGCCCAAAAGAGCTAGATGAGTACTTTGCACACCTTTCACGACTGACTGAAGCGCAAAGTAAGTCGACGTTTACTTTACTTCGCTGAATCCCGTTATTGACAACGACTTAGCCGAAGAGACACTACTCGCGAGATACTTCCCTGTGGACGAGCAAGTGCCCAGGCAAACAGTGTCCGAGACAACAGGGAATGAGGTGACTGAAAGGCTGCGCGCTGTCCAAACACAGGCCGCGTCCTTCGCCGACTTAGATGAACATGGCAGACAAGGGGATGAAAGCTTGCGGAAGAGTCGATATCACTCGTACAAATCCGAGGAAGATCTTCCTCCCATAGGCAGGGACTTCTTTCAACTGGCGGCGCAGCTGGCAGGGCTGTCCGTTCCAATGTTGGTGCGAGCCGTCAATATGCTTGAGGGCCACATCGTGACCTGGCAAAAGGAGCAACGCAGGGCAGCTAACGAAAGACGTGAACGATCGCGGTCTGTCGTGCTTATGGAGTCGGATACTGAGCAGCCAACATATACTGAGTAATGCGCGGTGTGGAGGTAGGCATGTACGGCCTGCGGTACGTCCACCTGAAGAATACGGGGTTGGTGGGCGTGTAAGTGCTCTCAGCACCTTGAATAAGCATGAGTGTGCGGAAGTTGAAATTATCAGCATTGAGATACCCATAAATTAGAAAGAAGTCTTCTTCTAGAGCGAAATATGAAATTGAGTCTTTCATCCTTGTTGTTCTCAGTATTCCGGAACAATTGGTATGAGCTAATGGCCATATTCAGTGCATCAGTGCATGCACTAATTCAGGGCGAAGAGCAAAAGGATAGCAGAGCATTTGGAGGATGAGCCTGTTGAAGTCATCGCAACCCAAAGAGTCACTGGGCAGGCCCATAATTTCCACAGGGTGCCCTTCCCAGCCCGTTCAAATTTACACCTACTTTGGCGCTCGGACCATGTCCGTACCCGCGTGCCCTAATTAGGGCTTGTCGGTCGCTCGCGCCGCAACCTCAACACTCATTCTCAAGCCCGCCCCACCAATTATTTGCCGCGATCACCAGAACTTTCTCGGTAACAACAGCCAGTTCACGAACGTCGGCAAGAGTAAGTGATGAGAGTCCCCTGCACGGCGAGACGGCGTCTTGCTGCGCGCCGTTGCTCTGATGGTTGATTTTGGGCGATGCTAACGATATTTTGCGTGTAGTGCAGATGTGAGCCAACCCCGAACACCCCTCCCGCCCGATCCCGAGCGCAGCAAAATCTCTTTTCCATGCGACGACGAAGCCCGAAGACGCCGATGTACTGACGATGGATGTTACAGTTTCGTGAAGACCCTGACGGGTAAGACCATTACCCTTGAGGTCGAGTCCTCCGACACGATCGACAATGTCAAGTCCAAGATCCAGGACAAGGAGGGCATCCCCCCCGACCAGCAGCGCTTGATCTTCGCTGGCAAGCAGCTCGAGGACGGCCGCACCCTCTCCGACTACAACATCCAGAAGGTTAGTCTAATTGCGCCGGACACTTGAAAAGAGGGGGAGAACAGCATTTGGGACGTCGGGGATATTGAAGCTACGATGGCCGAACAGACATGGAAGCTGACACACCAAACAGGAGTCCACCCTCCACTTGGTCCTCCGCCTCCGCGGTGGTATCATTGAGCCCTCCCTGAAGGCTCTTGCCTCCAAGTTCAACTGCGACAAGATGATCTGCCGCAAGTGCTACGTAAGTGGCCTCTTACCCTCAATCCCCGCCAACTGAAGTCGGCCGCGCGACCCAATTAAAACCTAACATGGAATGATTTAGGCCCGTCTTCCCCCCCGTGCGACCAACTGCCGTAAGCGCAAGTGTGGTCACACCAACCAGCTCCGCCCCAAGAAGAAGCTCAAATAGACGATTCATTACGGTTGCGGCGTCACGGGTTCTGGCATTCTGGAGAGGATGGCAGGGATACGAATTTTCCTGGGCTTTGTGGTAGCATTACTTTCCATCGGCAAGCAGTTCGTCGAATAAAAACTGAATTGGTCGCCCTCCTACCTCAAATGTCAAAAGGAAACACAACCCGGACTACCCCGTTATGCCTGTCGTACATCAACAAAATGATGTTTGGAGGCTGAGAGAAAAATCGTTTGGCGAGAGAGCGCGCCTAGGCGTCCTGAGTGCAGCATGGAGATGCTAATGAGCATGAGAGACGTACTATGATGGATGCGGGATGGCGACTGACCTGCCTCACAATGCTCCATTGACTACAGTGGAAAATCAACACAGTAGCGAAATACAGAGCCTCAGACCCATATGCCGTTCAATTTGGTGATGCACGTCATGCATGTGAACTTGATGATTGTGATCTAATCAGATAGTGTCCATTGCTTCTAGCGAAATTCTGTGCTTGCATAAAACTGGGACGTGAATTATCCGTATTAGTGCAACACTGGTACGGGCTCAGACATGGGTGTGTACCTGAGTGGAGACTTTTGCTTCCCAGGGAGCTGCAGGGCCAAACTGCATATGTGGGATTACGACACCTTGTCCAAAGCTCTAGGTATTCGTACGTACACACGTATCGGCCGTCCCAACTTGCCCGACTTCACGATCCCCAACGCCGACGACCCAGCAAGCCAGAGCTCCATTGTGACGAACCATCAAGGCAGATACTTGTGTCGGAGATCAAAGGCGAATCCTTCTCGGCTTCAATAACCAATCATGTCACGGTCTGGGTCCGGATACGACGCCGTCGTGGACGTCGACGACGAGGTGAGAGCTCCCTCCCCTAGTTCTTCCTTGCAACCGTCCCTCAAAGCTAACCATACTTCCTCTCGCAGGGCGACCTCGGCCACACCGACCTCCAGGACGATCTCGAATTTCACAGCTCCAACTTCCAGGACACGACGCCGGGGGCTCGCAAGGCGCCTGCGTCAGGTCTCCCGCCGCCGGCGACAGCGTCGTCCGGATCCTCGAAGCGCTTCCTCTGGAGCATCAACTTTTACGCACAGTACTTTGACGTCGACACCTCCGCCGTTCTCTCTCGCTGCTGGGCTGCGCTCTACCCGCGCGCCAACTTCCTCGACGTCTTGGAGGGTAACCCCGACCTTTACGGCCCCTTCTGGATCGCCACGACCGTCGTCCTGATCCTTTTCCTTGGTGGTACCATCAGCCAGTACCTTGCGAGCACAGGGTCTGGCCCGTTTGCGTATGACTTTAAGCTCCTGAGTGGTATGGGCTCTTGATAATTCAGCCAACAATCTTCTACGATGATCACTGACACACTTCTCCTCACAGGCGCCGCCGGTCTGATCTACGGCTACACCCTCTTCGTCCCCGTCGCCCTCTACCTCGCCCTGCGCTACTTCGGCTCCGAGTCCGCCAACCTCCTCGAGCAGTGGGCCCTCTACGGCTACGCCAATCTTATCTGGATCCCCGTCGCCCTCATCAGCTGGTCCCCCATCAACATCCTCAACTGGGTCTTCGTCGCCGTCGGCTGCGGCCTCTCCGTCGCCTTCCTTCTCCGCAACCTCTACCCCGTCCTCAGCGCCACCGACCACCAGACGAGCAAGATCCTGCTTGTCGTCGTCGTCGCCCTCCATCTCGGCCTCTCGCTGGCTATTAAGATCCTCTTCTTCGCCCATGGCAGCCCCGTCGCGAGCAAGGACCCCGCGGCGCCGCCCGCCGCGCCCGCTAACCCCCCTGCCGAGGGAGCGCCTCCCACCTTTTGATTTACCCTCGGGAGTTCCGCAAAGTCACCACTAGAACCTTTCAGAAGCTGTTATAGAAGAGCGTGCGAAAAGGAGCTTCATCAACTTGAAGTTTGTCTACTTTGGAACAGGTGAACTGCTGTGTATCATCCGCTGGAGCGTAGGGTTTCATGTACCATATCTGTACAACGAATATCATGATCAAACTCGCCGTCTATCTTTGCCATGTCGTACCATGTCGTGCCGTATATTACTCGCCTCAAAGACTTATTCATACATCCCACCACCGCATGACAGATCTGAACGGGTCTCTACTCCTGCCCAGGCCCCTTCCCACCCCTCTCAACCTCCCCTCCCTTCTTCGCCCAGTCTAGCCAGCTACCGGGATACTCCCCGACCTTGGTCCACCCAGCATCCCGCGCCAGCGTCGCCAGCGCCCGGCTCCGCACGCCGGCCTTGCAATAGAAAACCAGCTCCGTATCCTTGCTCGGGCGCGGGTACCCGTACCGGTCCTCGAAGTCCTCTTCGGCGATGAGGAAGCTCTCGGGCGCCGTGGCGACGGGGATGTTGATTGCGGTGGGGATGCGGCCTGTGTCTACGAGTTCGCCTGGTTCGCGGGCGTCTTTGGGGCACAAGGGATTTTCGGTTAGCGAAAGAAAACCATTTAAGGATCAGCCCGAAGAGTGGCAAGGCCACAGGGCGGGATGTGTAGTAGTAGTAGTAGTAGTGGTGGTGGTGGTGGTGATAGCAAAGACATACCGACAATGACGACGTTGCCCGGATCCTTGGCCAGCTCCGCCATCTGGCTAAAGTCCCAGATCTTGCTCCCGTTGGCGGAAATCTGGTGGTAGTCGTCCTCGACCCTCTCCTTCTCCGAGGAGAAGAAGCGCGCAGCCGCCGCCGTCGTCCTCGTCGCCGCAGCAGGAGTAGCACTCCAACCGAGGCGTGCCGTCGTTGTCTGTCCCATAACGCGGGCCGAGAACGTCGAGTTGGCAGCAACAGCAGCAGCAGCAGCGAAGCACCGTCTCGTGGCCGCTATCGGGGCGACGACGGAACCGAGGCGGCTGCTGCTGCTCGCGCGAAGGGCGTTGGCGCAAGCTCTTGTGGGTGCCATTTCTTCCTTCTTTCCTGTCTCTTGGGGGTGTAGAGGGGAATTTGAATACAGCTCGTATTCACCAGAGTCTTCGGCAGTCAAAGGGAGGTGACGGAAGTTGCTAAAAGAAGTGGGAGATCGGAGCTGGAGCTAAACGGGAGATCTTTAAGGAAGCTCCAGCGGGTATCTGTCGGCCAAAAGACCGGGGCCCCGGGGACCTGCGTTGATGACAGTGCCCGCTGGTCCCCTCCCCTCCACCTTGGAGCTCTGCCGGTCTCCACTGACGTTGAGCGCCCGGGCGGGCTTCAACTCTGTTCGACGACCTGTTTGGCACAATCCATGATTGACGCACTTTGGTTGGCTTTGGCTGGTTCCTTGGCATACATCTACTTCGCCGAACTCAAGATGTAACTCTCTCAAGAACATCTTCACTACTCTGCAACTCTAGCAAGATGAGGACGAGGTTACTTAAGTCACAGCCACTTTTGGTGTCAACCCAGCAATCAGTCGCGTGGGATCTTTAGGTACGACACAGCTTCTTCACCTCTACCAATGTTTATCTTGCTCCATGAATCACCGGGCCATTTTGTTACTTCAAGTTTTTTTTATTTTTACCATTGGCTCTAAACTGAGTCTATCGTCACCCAGTATCATTCAGATGGGCCGTTTAGCCAATATCCATCCTCGTCTGGGAATCATGATCCCTGGGCGACCCTAAGTCCGCGGCATCGCCCGCTCTTTTTAGGACCGTTCTCCTCGAAATTATGTACACATAAACGTCTATTACAAGTTTGTAGTCTAAGGGTCTGGCGTTGACCAATCTTGACTCGAGTTTTACGAGCCTCCCGTTCCGACGGGCGATTAAAGTGGCGTCTGACATTGACAAGGGCGCGCTAGCGGAGATCTTGCAGCATCAGCCGGGCCCAGCTCATTCATTGGGCGAAATCACTGCCAGCCCGTAGCCTAGGGAAAGAGGTATAAGAGATCTATGCCGTGCGCTCGTTGAAGGTAAGAGGGCAGTCATCCTATGCTTGTTAGTGTTCTATTTCTCACGTTTCTGCAGGATAACCTCCAACATACCATAGGGAAGATGGTGGCGAACACCTTGATCTCCTCGGACTTGGGTGTAGGGTGGTGCACCCAGTCCAACATGACAGAGGCTTTTCCGATCATCAAGGCCAGGTTGAGCTGAGCGTAGGTTTGGCCGATACAGTAGTGAGGGCCGGTTCCGAAAACGAGGAAGTTCTTGGCGCCCTTCTCCTCCGCATCGCCGGTGTAGTAACGCTCGGGGTCGAACTCGTCGGGGCGGTCGTACACCTCGGGATCACGGAGCGCAGGGTAAACGGTAGGAATGACCATGGCGCCTGTTTCTAATCAGCATTCACTCAAACAACTAAACGGCGATAATATGCTTACCCTTGGGAACAGTGTACTCGGGAGTAATGGGGAAGGGCTTCTTGACAACGTAGGGAACCATGAGGACAGGAGGGCGGTAGCGGAGCAACTCGCGGACGACGGCACGGGTGTAAGTCAAGGACTCGAGCTGGTCCATGTTCAACTCAGCATGGCGGTCGCCGTTGCGAACCTTGATGTTCTCTTCGCGGACACGATCGAGGATGTCGGGGCGCTGGGCCATAGTCTGGAAGAGCCAAGTGGCGGCACTGCTGGTGGCATCCTGGGAGGCGAAGAGGAAGGTGAAGACGGTCTGGGCAATCTCATAGTCGGAGAACTCGCGGAGAAGGGGGTGGGGCTTCTCGAGACCCTCAGTCTTGCCAGCGGCCTCGGCCTCGCGCCAGTTCTTGGACTCGAGGATAGACTTGACCCAGGCGTCCATGATGCAGGTCAACTCACCTCCGGCGGCCATGCGAACCTTGCTCTTGGCAGAGCACTTTGCGAATTCGGCGATAACCATGTCGGAGGCCTTCTTTCCGTACCAGGGCTTGGTGAAGGGCAGGATAAGGGGGAAGTTGACGAGCTCGAGAGCCTCGGTGATGAGGAAGTAGTCGGTCGAAATCTTGCGAACGGCCTCATCGGAGATGTAGTAGCCGACAAAGGTGCGGCAGGAAACGGCGGTCATGACGTCGCGGAAAGCAGGCATGAAAGGCCGGGCCTCGCCGCCGGCTTCCTTGGTGATCTGGAGGAACTCCTGGAAGTACTGCTTGTACACGGCCTCCTGGCCAGGGAGGTAAGAGGCCAAGGCCTGGCGGGTGAAAAGGCCGTTGAGACCCTTGCGGAAGTCGACGTGCGGCTTGCCGTCGAGGAACACCCAGTTGGTGGGGCCGAGGAGCTTGTGGGCGACATCAACAACACAAGGCTTGACGTAGCCAGGCGAGTTGAAGACCTTACGGGCCATGTCGCGGGTTGAGGCAATGACGACGAACCTATAATCGTTAGATGTCAAACCACCTACAGGTATGCCTGTTGTGCGCAACTTACTTGTGGAAGACGGAAACACAGCTGAGAGGGCCGCTGGCCCACTTGGCCTTGTATTCAGAGAACTTGGGGTTCACAGACTCCAAGAAGGGGCCGATGAAGGGCATCTTGAAGGTAGGGCCAGCAATGGAGCCCTTGGAAGTGATGTAGCTGACTATGTCTTGTCAGATCTTGTTCCATCTCTCAGGCCACTTCTGGGCGCATCACTTACTCTGGTCATATGCGACAGCGAGGGCCAGCAGCGTGAACAGGATCGTCACGATGCTAGCATTGGCCACTTTCTCGATCACATAGTCGACTTGAGGGGGGATGTTGACATTGCCGAGCTTGGCATTGGCCAACACCGAAGTGAAGGTCGTCGCGTTGGAATCCATCGTGGTCGGTTCGAATATCGAAATCGGGGTGCGTGTGTCCGGAGGGGAGGCCGGCCGGGGGGAGGGAAAAAAAAAAAAGACACCAGGGCGCGAAAGGGTCGGTCGACGGCTTAGGCGCAACACACAACAACCAAATAAGTTTTGCGCTTGTTGAGATCCTCGAGGGAGGGAAGGCAGCAAGCAGTGAGAATGCCGCGCGAGGTCAGTGACTTGAGCAACACTCCCGGTAGAGGTTGATTAGGAGCACTGCGGGTGAGATGTGGGAGGGAAGGACATGTTCAAAAGATTTAAGAAGGGAGTTCGATTACCATGGGCATGGACGGGGACGGGTACGGGGGGGCATGGGAAGAGGTGGATACCCGGATGAGGTTGTTCGTTGTGGTAGGCCAGGTGAAAGTGAGCGAGGCAGGTCCCAGTCTCTGCGAGACGGGTCACTGGGATGTACCTGTACCTTCCCTGCCTTCCCTGCCACCACACGTAGGCGCGAACGGGGGTCCCAAGGTCTTTCTACTTACTTGTAAACAAATCCACCTCTGTGTTTGGACAGACGAGCAGGCACAGCAGTTTCCGCACGCCAATTGCGACCGGGAACACAGAGAAAGGCGATCAAAACACCATAGATTTGTGGGTTTGACTCCGTTAAGGCCGATGTGGGCTGCTGAGATTCTGAATTTTCTTTCCAGGTTCTGATCAATACCACCTCACCCTGTGGCCTGCGCAATAAGGGGCCCCGATTAGAATTTTGGAAGCACGCGCAATTGCGGCGCAAGGCCCGAATCGCCCAAGCACTCCCGTCTTCAGACTTCAGGAACCATCAGACGGTGATGTGAGCTGGAGGTCTTTTCTCGCCCCGCCTATCCGTCCGTCTGTATGCTTTCCTCTGCTCAGGTACTCCGTACCTTTCAGCTCCTGCTCGCTTGACTTGGGTAGCTAAAACTCACTTTACCCCAGAGAAGGTCATTGACTTTTGATTCCAGTCAGATTTCGATGAGCAGCCTTTTCCGTATGCTTGCTTTACTTTTCGATATAGCTCGCAGCGCAAAGTGAAAAGGAGGGGCGGGGCGGTCGTCACAGTCTCAATTCAATACATGAGACTATCGCCATGTGCTCGGATGGCCGGTAAGTGGAATGTCCGCCCGCCTATCATCCAACATCAAACGAAATGACAATTTTGTTCCTTCTGGCTCTGTCTTGCTTAACTAGCCGGGATATAATCTGCTGGCGCATAGCTGATAGTGCAACCAGATGAGCTAGTGTCAAAAATTTGTTGGGTCCAACTCATTCACCTGCTTTTACCAAGCAACCAAAGGTACCTACCTAGTCGTTGCTTCGTTTCGTTTAGGGGGAAAGAGGGCCGCATTGCTTGCATTGCCCATCCACCAAGCAGGCAAGGGCAGTTCGTCTCCGAGCTTTCACACGCACATAATAATCGGCCCAGCACCACATCTCGGGCCTGTGGGCTGTGACACGCCGCTTTGTCAATGTCTATGGACATCTGGGCATTCGAATGACCTTTCGCCTACCCTTATTGGATGCCCATTGCCTGTCTCGGCCGCCGTCAATGGAGCGCGAAAAGACCGAATGGCGCAAGATCCGGACGTGGGGTTGGTTCATGACCCTGAATCCAGCACATCACGCAGCGATGCGAAATTGAAGCTGTCATGGGCCAATCTTTCTATTGCTCCTGTCCACGTATTCGTATTCATACAAACAGCACTCATTCTCGGATTAGACAAAGGAGCCGCGGGTTTGTTTGACGGCATGGCAGTTAGTCTCTTCTTTTCCTTTCTTCTTTGTCTATTTTCTCTTCTGGTCCCCTATGCTGAGTCTTGGTAAACTGACCGATGTATCCGTACACTGAGCGCTATTCGGCCAAGTCGAGAAAGCCATCATGTCCAATTAGCTCGAGTCCCATGGTCAACTCAACTGTCAGTGTCACCATGTGTTCCCTAACCCACCCGAGCAAACCAACGCCAGCAACGCAGCCAAGATGGATGGCGCCAAGCAAAGTACCGGCTACAAGCGTCTACTTGTGCCCTCCACGGAATTGTGGCGTCTGTCGGTGACTTGACCACACTCGACTCGATACTGTGAAAGTGCGTACGGTACATACCAATGCACTCTCGGTGGGCAACCTTCCCGGCCGGGGGTCCAGCGACGTTTCATAAAACACGCAGACGAGAATGCACAAATCGTCCCAAGAGGAAATTCTCTTCCGCTCAACCATCATGACCAGACAATTTCTCATTTTGGAGCATAAAGCAACGAGTTGTGCAAATGCGACCCTCCACCGTCTGACAGTAGCGGGAGCTCATCAATTGGCCAATCCATCAGGGACGGCAGCTACCCCTGACCTGTGCGATCTGGACGGCCCGGCCAATCAAACCGTCTGATCTCTTTTCGGCCTCCGTCTCTCGACCGTCTTTTAGTCACGTGATAACACGAATACGAGAGTGCCCCTCCATCCATCATTCCCGTCCCGCTGATAAGAAGTCAAATCCAGGCTCCGATTAAGACATGGCGGGGTAATGCCTGATCAGCCCGTCGCAGCGCCCGGCCACCGCCTTTGCTGCGGCGTCTCAAGCGTCGCTCTAGCTTCTAGACCGCTTTGCAGAACGTCATGACGCTCTTTTTTTTTTTCCTCTCTTGCTCCGTACCTTACCAAAAGTGAGGCTCTGATTAAGGTTTGTGGAGCGCCTGTCGTCTGACTGACACAGACCACATTTCTATCATGGCGGGACTCGACTTTCTCACTAAAAGCAGTCAGTTCCATCATCGTTGTTTGCTTTTAGTATACTTGGTCCGTTGCTCATTATTTGTTCCTCGAGTGATATTGCTCCGTACTTGTCCCAGTCATTATTCTCGTCTGTCTCAACTAACCTGGACATCTCGACAGTGTGGCACTAGTTCTCTAGGCTTCCTCAAACCAACAACGAATTTTAGGCCCTTAGGAGGGCGTATTTAGATGGAGACTATTCCCAAGTTTTAACATATTGCTCCGATCGAACTTTCAGCATTATCGCTTAACTACACCATATTAAATGAGAGGACTCAAGCATAACACCCACTCTCCATGAGCTACGAAGCTGAGAGTCTGGTCCATTAAGCGGACTATTCTCCAGTTCACTTTGTATCTTTCACTGACTCTCACTTGGCGGTGATCCACCTAGGGCTCTATTGGCCACGATAGGATGGACCTCGAAGTATACCATCATGCTCTAGCTTCGAAACGCGGGTTCGGAAGGCTAGAGAATGCTCAAGTCATTGCGTTGAGACTGGCCAGAAGTAGTTTGTAATGTGCCTACCGCGGACGACCAGCCCACCTTCTGAAGAGAATGTACAATCGGCCCTTCCCTTGAAGTATGTATCTCCAGGCGTATGTATCCATGATGTCGAAGCGCGATTCGAAGTCATGATATTGCAGATTGAATGAGGTAGCTCACACATAGGTCTCGACTGCTGTATTCAAGGCCCGTACGGCGGGGATATGTGTAACAGCTATCCGCTGAACTTTGCAGCATTCGTATATTCTACCATCAATATACATTTCCATAGGGTTGGATTTGGAGTGAATATAGCGCAACTCCAGCTTGTCTGGTTTTCTTTATGACATGAAGGTTATGCTTGCTGGATCGACATCTAAGGGCCGCTCATTTCAGAGTCTCTCATTTTAGAGTCGCTCATGATAATCAATTGCAGTCGCAGACGGGATGTCTGAAGTGAATCTACTCCCATCTCTTCACCATGCAGGTCCATCAATCCCTCTCTGCGTCTGCCGCGTGTGCTGATGAGAAACAGACCAAACCTCACCTTGCAGGGAAGTGAAGATTCATTGAGACGTGGTTCCCGTCATATCAAGTAGAGTTTTCAACGCCTCGTGCTCCAAATCTTACTTGCATCGTCAACGAACGAGAAGGAGAGTCTGGGGTGGATGGGAAGAGCAGTCAGCGTCTCCCCATACCGCGACACTGCGTTACCTTGATCCTTCGATAGGTTTCAAGAGTGAAGTTTCACGAGGAGCGGCTGACGGAGGTGCCCATTCCAGAGCCGGGCTTGACGATGTAATATCTGAACAAAGGTGCATGTCGGACCACGCGATAAGACGGAACAGTTGTAATAAGCTAAACAGATACTAGGAACGAGTTTTCAAACTGTAGCAAACAGAGTTTAATTAGATGCTATGTTGACGTAGCCAAAGTACCAAAGTCTATCAACGAATTGCGCGTCACATTGGGTGTAAGAATGTAGAGCCTACTCCGCAGCCAACCAGCCACGCGGCCTTCGTCAGGGATCTGCTGATGGCAGAATACAATCCAAACAACGACATTGCGTAGTCGCCTACGAAACAAGTACCGTAGACGAATTAGCCCGCCATCAAGATTAAGCTTGTTTTTAGCCGAGAACAACAAAGTTCTTGGGTCCAGTGCCGAAAGTTTTCACGTCGCGAGCCCGGTTCTTTGGACGATCAACGCCCGTTCACTGAGGTAGTCGACGGGACTGCCATCTGATCTTTCCCCTTACGATTACAGACACAGCCGAATCATCTCTGCCTTTAGACCAGTACGAGTCCCGTTCGTAGTATACAAAAAATTCGGGTGAGACTCACGGCTCGTCGGCGAGCTTCTTCGCGACGCCGACGAAAAAGAACACAGCAGGCTCGTCTTGCCAATTGGGCGAGTCGGTACCGGCGCCGATCAATCTGCCAAGCGGGCTTTCGTTCGCCCGGGAATAGAGAGTGGGGCCCGTTGATTCGAGGTTGCCGAAAACTGGGAATGCAAGGCGGGTGGGGGATAGGTGACTCGGAGTGAGTCAGCCCGGATATGAGCGGGCATGCAAGCTTGCTAGGTACGCCAAAAAACCAAGGTCGTGTAAGTGAGATTACGCAGCGCCAGGAGAGAAAATTTTGCAGTGAAAAAGCATACGGTGATTGGGTGAAGAAGACGGGAGATAACCCTCTCACCGCGAGCTTGTCACTGCTGAACGTACCCCCAAAGGAGGCCAAACACTGCCGGAGGGCTGTAGTACAGTAAAATCAGGCATTCACCCTCAGCCCCCTCCAAGGCTCCAACATCCAAGTCGGAGTAAGATACGGCCGACTCTGACTCCCATGACACCACACATGGCATTCAAGATGAACCAACCACAATCGTTACAAATACACTTGATACATTTTCGTTGCCGTGTATGTACCGCTGGAGCCTGAGAAAGCTGTTGCGCGAATCTAGGCACAGCAGGCTTGGATGAGGGGCTCTTCGTCAGGCAGACATGCCCGTCAGCAAGTCCATACCGGAGGTAAGATAGCTCACTTGGACCTCCACGAGAAGACGTATGACACTTCCATCAAACTCCATATTTACAGAGTACACATACGCAAACGCACCATCCGGCGCATCTTTACACCGGGGCGCTTACCTTATCCCCGGCCTTCCTTCACCCCTGATTAGCCCCCAAGATGATCGATCTCCAGGGAGCTATCCTGTACGTTCGCCCGGTAAAGCTTACACGGAATTCTGGAGCATACGCACCCCTTCGGTATGGGATCACAAAAGCCTCCTCCAAGATTCGCATCCGTGACTCTAATGAGGCTGGCAAGCTTGCGTTTGAGGCTGCATGAGGCACAGTAGGCCTGCATGGTGTAATGACTCACCCGGTTTGTTCTGACTATCTTACCGGACAACGTCTATTCGTTCCTGTATTGCATTTGCTCTGTGACCCCTGTATGCGAATGCCGCCCCGGATGTTCTGTCGTAGGCTTACCCGCTACTTTGGAACCGTTTCCCTACAATACCTCCGGCCGGCAGGCTTGCGGGCGGGCGGGCCACGCGTGACTCCCTCTCCTGCGGCTTTCCCTGGCTCCACACCTCCGAACTGCAATGGGTCCCCCATCGACGACTACGACTACCGATGACGGGTGTGTCGAGACGCGCAGCCGGGGGCTGTGGTACCTGGTTCCCAAGATCCATACTGCACATCTCAAATTCCAAGGTTGGTGTAAGTAAGGTAAGTCATGTAAAGTACTGTACTCCAAAGTCTCAATTACAAACCCTAGAGATGGACTTGGTATAAGTAGGGCCTCTTCGTTCTCGTCCTCAGGTTTGTCTTTTAGATCATCCTCATCATCGAAGCAAATCAACCCATCCAAACTACCAAGCAAAACTTAACCCCGATATCAAGATCACTTTGTCCAATCCAAAGCTTTATCTGAATCAAACCACCTCACCATAACAACCTCACCCAACCCAATACAAACCCAAACAACCAAAGCAGCAATGTCCGGAATGCACTCCACCTTCTCCAGCTCCATCACCGGCGACAGCCGCCACAGCTACGCTCTTCTCTCCGCGATACAACAGGGCTCAAAAGCTTCGAGCTCCTCCTCCTCCGCCTCCCCCTACCAAAAGGATACCGATATCGCCTCAATCTCGAGCTTCGGCAGCTCCGCTTCCCTTCTCAAGAGCAAACTGAACAAGCACTCCGGCGCAACAAAATCATCATCACCCTCCTCGTCATCATCATCTAAAAAGTCTTCGTCTCTGATTTCCCGCCAACGGGCCGCCGAGGACGCGAATACTCAAATCATGAACTCGCAGGCCGCATTCTGGCCCTCGTCTATTCGCCACGACCTGTAAGGAGCCATTCTGGCAACAGCACCATCTCATTAGGAAGGTTCGATTACGATGAAACCAAATCAGAAAGCGGCGGCGGCAAAGAAACTGTCATGTTTCGAGGGGGTGGCGCCGCCATGTTTATATGATGGAAATTACAGGAGTTATGGGAGTTGGGTTCTTACACATTAGACGGCCGTGCTGAAATAGCGGCCATTCGGATGGAGTCTTCCTGGATAAAATTGTTCCTTACGATGTTTGAGGTCTTCGACATCAGAAATTGCTGAAACATTCGGTTTCCTATTTATGTATGCTCAGATTAAGAGGACTAAAGATCGAAAGCGAGGATCAGAATGAAAGGGTTTCATTTATGTAACCAAGGGTATCTTGTCTATTAGTAAGGCAGCCTTTAATATTCTCGTGGCAGACGACTTCTCCGTTGCCGATCTCTATTAAAAGATTTCAAGAGAATCAAAAACTCTCATTGAGAATGTCCTCGTTCATTTTGACCATCGTAGGACTGTACTCTGAGCTCTCCGGCTCGGCGCCCGCTGTGAGTAGAATGTCATCGACAATGCGCTTGCTTGCCTCGCGAGCTAGTAAATGTTGTCAGTAAATGGGTCATTCACTGCAGAAACAGAAAACCACTCACCAGGAGTCTGAAGCAGTTTCGACGGGGGGAGCGCAAACTGGATAGTCTTGGGCGGACTCATACCGCCATACAGCGCATGACCCTCATCACTGTCGCTCTCCCAGTCAATCTCATATTTTTGTTTGTCGAACCTGGCGCCGAGATCCGTAGTCGTGTCATCATCGTCGTAGTTGCCTTTGGTAGCAAACACATCTTTGGTCTTCCTCGCACCGCCCGGTGTCTGCACGCTCACGCCCGGAGTCCGTGGTCCCGCAGATGCAGTCGCGGCAGCAAGACGCTGTCGGGCATTGCTCTTGATAGGAGACATAAACGCCTCGCTACGTAGCTTTGGAACGGCCATCACGGGTGACGACATGGGTGAGTCCTGCTGCCATGCAGGTACGTTTTCCTTTTCCTTGTTCTTGTCATCACGCTTTAGCGGCGAGACGCGGTAAGCGGGACCCTTGTGAGGTGTGGCCTGGATGCGGAACGTCTTGTCAAGCATGCGGTGCATGAGCGGGTCCTTGTGACTCTGCTGCTGCTGCTGCGGCGGCGCGAACGAGGAGCGCGGCGTCATGGACATGTCTGGAAGACGGGCCGTATGCTGCGCAAAGAGGACAGTCGAGTCCTCTTCAAGTCCAAGATCCTCGTTCTCGTCGTCTTCCTCGTGTGGCGCAGGTGGTTCGCCTCTCAGCTCGCGCTTGAGTGCCTCGTAGGGGGATTCGAGGTTCGAAAACTGCGGCTTCATCGTCTTTGTCCTGGGAGGCCGAGGTGTGCTGCCAGTGAGGTCGTTATCGTCGAGTACAGAATCGTCTGCGCGGAAGGTAGAGTCGGCTGTCGAAACTATGGTCATGTCTTCTTCGCCTTCGGGGCGTTGTTGTTGGGGTGTGCGGGTGTAGTCGACGGTAGTGTCTTCTTGAACAGTCGACTCCTCGGTTGCGCCGGTCTCACCATCCCCATTGTTAGCGTTCTCCTCGTACCCGGAGAGGGAAACGTTGGCAGAGGCCTCGAAGAACTGCTTCCAGAACTGCAAGTTCGGTGTGTCAGTGATGCTGGACTACCAACCCATCAGAAGGGTACCCGAAGAAGTATTACGCACCTTGGACGCATCCCAAACATTTCGCGAATGCTCGCCGTATTGCTCTACAATGGGCAAGATGTTCGTGGTAACGATGCGGTGTGCCTTGCTAAAGTTGTGGTCGATCTCTGGGGAATAAATAGGTCAGCCGATTGAACATAGACAGAGCAGGTGCTCTTTGAACCGGAGTGTTTACCTTGGAGTGTCAATGTGATAGACTGCTCCAATTTCTCCAACTCTTCTGTGAGAGTAAGATTCCGCGCGGAGAGGCCAGGACGAGCCATGGTGTTAGTGTTTCCGGCGGTTGTTGAGCTTGAAGGTCGCAATAGAAGAGCTTAGTTTGTTTTGTTCAAGTGCACGGTTTCGTCCAAACGAGGGAAGTAAATCAACAAACGCGGGCAGGTGGGACACGCGATGCGGGGCACTGCCAGGGAGGTCGGGGCCGGGGCATCACTTTGGCGGGGCAAGCCACCGCCCTTCCATCTTCCGCACATGTTTGGCCTCGGGGCCAGTCGTCATTCTAAATGCTTAGGATCAGAGCTCAATCGAATAGCCCTATTATCGGTGCATCAGTAGAAAGTGACTCATCAGACGCCGTAGGCGAGACTAACGTAATTCAAAGACAGTGGCTGGCATTGATCTAATGGACGCCCGGGGTATCTAATCTGTTCATCAACGCAATGATCCAACCGTCCCTCATCAAACGATCATGCCTTGGAGTAATAGCCAGACATGTCTAGCTTCAGAACAAGCTGAGCAATGGGATTTCCCTCCAGTGAATCAACTCTTCCCGAGGTCAATTTCTCTCCAGCGGTATCCTTCATTCCATAATCTCCCTTTTCACTCAGGCCCTTGCAGACCGCCAGAAAAACCTCGACATTCCGCTTAAACGTCTTGTACAGACCCTTCGCAGTGGCGTCTTCTTGACCTCCAGATTTCCTTCCAGCGGTCTTGCGTCTTGAGTATTGGGCAAACTTCAACACGACTTGGAAAATGTCGTCTAGAAGCTTGAGCACAGGCTGTTGCCGCTTGCGTAAAAGTAATGCCAGCATGATTCGATCAAGCACCTGAGAATGGTGTTCTCTTAAGCGGTCGGGGCTAAGTACTGAGCCTGACAGCGTGCTGTGGTATTCGGCTCTGAGATCGACCTCGATTTGACTCAGGAGTTGTTCAAATGCCTGCCACGGCATTTCGATGCCAATGTCAAAGATGTAGGAACTGAGGCTCGATACAAAGTGACGAGCTTCGAAGCAGAAGCGGATGGATACGTCATCGACATCCCGCCAGCCCGACTCCCTAGCCGTGACATCGCGGAAGATGCGGTTCACTGTGTACTGCATCCGCAGCACTCGAAGTAGCAGTTTAAAAACCCGATCATACTGCACTAGAATTACAGGGGTGATGATAGCCCCCAGAGCTGCTGGTGGCTTGTAGGATAGCCGGAGAAAGTCCAGGGCCTCCAGTCCGGTTGGATCCATGCATTTGTCGATTTCCTCATTCGAAAGACTCCGGACTCCGAAACTAAGATCCCCAGGGAGTTCACTCTTTTCGCCATCCCGAGATCTTGAGCCTTCGTGAAGAGGTCCCTCATAGCTTTCAGTCAAGACCCCCATCAGGGCTAAGCGTAACTCAGAGCTAGCGGGCGGCCAAGTGTCTCTGCCGCTTAAACGTAGTCCCATGACTCCGCCTTGGTGTGCAAGACCAGACTGTCTTTCTGCTGTCTCGAGATCTGGGTCGAATAGGGCATGGGATAAGCGGCTACAGAAAAATCCGTTGCCCAGTAACTGAAACTCTTTTTGTAACTTCAGATGCTCACGCAGGTTGTGAGATGCGAAGAGCAGTTTTAGACTCTCCCTGCCCACGACTCTGGATTGCGCAGATATGATGGACCCGAACGAGAGGATCGGAAGTAATGACCAGTGCGGTGTGAACTCGGTCCCGGCACTCGCGATCTCGGTCGTGACGTCCGACAAGCGCTCCCTGATGATGATACCTAGCAGGTCTTCTGACGTCGAGTCGGCAATGGGTTTAGCAAAGTCCTGGATAGACAAGGCTAATTTACTTTGCAGCTGATTCTCATCCAGGCCAAAGAGTTGCAGTTGGTACGTAGTTGAATTCCCCATCGGCCAAGCAGGTGCCGCTGTTTCGGCAGATTCCTGTGGAGAAAAGTTCTTGATGGCTTCCAGAAGCGCGCTTTCGTATGATAGGATCATGCCCTCCAATTGCACGACCGAGTTCCAGTCAAAAAGCCACTCGACCGTCGGGGGTTGACTTGAAGAGATAGTGCTCTCATGTGCCAAAGGATGTCCAGGGTGATTTGACCTTATGAAACGAAGGTTTCGTCCAACCTCAAATAGAGATTTGACGACGTCTTCCGGCATAAAGCTAGGTATTCGCTTCGCATCAAGGCGGAAGTCAACCTCATCGACCTCGTCACCGAAATCGTCCACATAGGTTTCGGATTCCACCTTGACGAAGCCTTTTTGTCTTCCAATTTCGTGCTTGCTCAGAGGCACGCCGATTTCACGACGTGTGCCGATCCACTCCTCGACGAGCTCAATCCAGGGTTTGGATACTCGCCGGAGGACTTCTCGCATCATATCTCTGAGATGGGTCTCGGCGTACTCGGCAGACTGAGCCTGCTGGAACACGATGACAAAGACATCTTCATCCAGATGACCTCGTCGAATCTTTGACAACAAAGACTCAAACTGGCGCAAGGTAGTGTATATATGCGCGACGAGCGATTGAACTTGGAGAATCGATCGTGGGTGTTGATGATGCAAGGCGACACTGCCCTGAATAACCAAGAGGGCCTTGTCCACAGCGCTCGCCAAAGCAACGCGGCATGGAGTCGGGTTCTTCAAATATGTACTGTCGACAAACTTGCGAAGTTGACGGTATGTATTCCCACACTTGAGACATGAACGCTGAACTTCCTGAACGGCCTTGCCCGAATATGCTGGTATCCTGATCTGGGGTAAGGCTGGCTTGAAGGTTTCATGCACATCTTGCCAGGAGAAGAATACCGAGTCTCTTCCAAGAGCCAAAGCTAGAAGGGCATTGCAGTATGTCTCGGCTTCCACCACGGTGAAGCCAGCACCTCCAATGTGTAGAGGATCTTCTTTAAGCCCAATCAAGGCATCAAATGCTCCAGGCCCAGCCTCCGTTATGAACAACGGCTTTGTCGAGAGAATGTCAGAAGACTGGAAGCTTTCCCAGGTCTTGTACTCTGGTTGCTTCGCAGCGGGCTCGTCAAACCCTAACCAGAAATCGATCGCTTCCGTCTCTTCCTTTGCCGCGGGTTCTTCAAACGTAAATTCGAGGTTCTCAGTCGTGTTCGGCTCCTCCTGCTGCTCCTGCTGCGGCGCAGGATCTATGGCAGGGAGGGTGAAGAGTTCGCCAGGTTGAGAATCGGGAGGTTTGCATAAAGAAGGCAATTCATTATCTGGACATAACATTGGTCAGTAAAGCGACCAGGAGCCTCTTGAGTTCGAGGGACCATACCTGTTAAGTCGAGGGCAAAGAAGCCAGTATCGGCTCTGGGCAATTGGTTTTCTAGCCATTTGGACGGCTCTCGGAAGTCTGGAATCGCAAAGACGTTCGAAAGACCATCTTCTTCAAACATGGTTGTGCCGACGGTAGTATTGCGACGTCAAACATTGGTGTAGACGGATATGGGGCGCAAAGCCTGCAATCAGTGACATCGCATCTTTGAGGATTCAGGTTCCATATGACGTTTCTCTCAGGCACTTTTGGGGACAAAGGTAGAGGGGCGGCTAGGGGCCCCCGCGACGCGACTGGCGCGTCACACTTTCAGGCACAACCTGGAACCCCTGCATGTCTCTCTGTCCGGTTCTGATCATCCCCGCAGGTTCGGCTCCTGGCGTCTGAAAAGCCTAAGACTCAAAAGGTACCTACCTACCCTGCTATGTCGGCCACGCAGGAAAGTATGTGGAACCAATCGAGAGCTCTCACTGCCTCAACCCGCTCGAGCTCTCAGATAATACGGAAGCTTCTTTTTTCAACCTTTCCAGTGCCAGAGTATTTGGTCGACAGCCCTGCCGCCTCCATATCATCACCGAGCATCACATCTACACACGCCAAACCCCAAGGAACGCCATCTCTGTTTATTTACGCTGCTGGCCCTCGCTGCCATGCCTCCCAAAAAGAAGATGCGCAGCAGCGTTTCTGCTGTCGCAACGCCAACACCAGCCCGCGACGATGATGCCATGGATGTCGATACCCCAGCTGCAGACACTCCTGTGGCGAGTGCGCCTCCGATAAAGCCTTCTGCGGATGAGTGGCCGAATAATCTGTGGACCGACGATCAACTTTCATCACTCTACAAAGGAGTCATCCGGTGGAAACCAGCGGGTTAGTTGATCGGCCTTGGAAAGCCAATTGAATCTGACGGTCGAATCGTAGGCATGCACAAACACTTCAGAATGATTGCTATCAGCGAGCACTTGCGGAATCACGGTATTGATCCCGACTTCTACACCCACACACGCATACCCCATATCTGGACGAAGCTTCGTACCTTGTACGATCTTAAGACGATCGACCAGCGAGAAGACTTTTACGACGCCCAAGAAGATGACAACTACGACGACCGATTCAAAGAGTTCTCTCTTCCATACGACGAGTTCGACGATATGATGATGGAGCGCCGCCTCGCCGATGCCAGCGAACCTCCAACCTCACCACCCGAATTCGAGCTCACGCCGCCACCGCCCTCTCCCGGTGGTAGCAACGCTGGCGGAAACACCAGACGGAGAAAGCGCGCTTCCACAATTACGAAGACTCGCGCTAGCACCGTCGAAGATACGGAAGACGCTGGCACAGACACTGCATCGCCGCCTCCAAAATCGGCGCGGGTGGCCAGGAGTCAAAAGAGGGCCGCTGGCAAGGCTAAAGCCGAGAAAGCTGAGAAGGTCGAAGAGCCAGAAAAGCCAAAGAAATCCGGGAAGCCAGAAAAGGCAGAGAAACCCAAAAAGGGCGGCAAAGCTGGCAAGGCTGAAAAGGCCGACTCGACGAACTCGGAAGATGACGATGATGACGACGACGAGAACTCGGGCGGGGATGAGGACGGCTCGGACTCGAATGAAGAAGAGCAAGATGATCGCAATGAGGGCGAAGACGGTGAAGATGGAGACGAAGGAGACGAGGAAGAGGAAGGTGAGGGGAGCAACTCTGGTGATGGTAGCGGCTCTGGTGATGCCGGCGACTCTGGTGGCTCTGGAGATTCCGATGAGGGAGACGAAGAGGAAGAAGAAAGCGCCGAGGACAGCGGGACACCGGTATCGCGTTCAACAAGAGGGGCTGCTCGAGGTCGTGGCAGAGGCAGAGGCCGAAGTAGAGGACGGGGTCGGGGACGTTAGTAACGAGGCCGGGTGCGTTAGCATGAGTCGACTGCTACTTGACCCACGAAAGCAAACAATCTGGCGGCTGTCCATCCAGGCCTAGTGGGATAAAGATACCCGTCGCGATCTGCGACTTAAAGAATGTTCCACTCGGCACGAGCGTTGTCTTCAGATAGGCCTCGTCCTATGTCCCACACAATAGCATAGGCTAGCAAGAATGGTTTTGGCATTTGGGTGAAAAAAGTAGATAAGATCCAAGTATATGGGTATCAAGGACAAGAACCAAACTCAACTACTAAACTAGGGATCAGGCTTTCTTGTCCTGGAGCTGAGACGTGCCGAGCATTTCCCACTCACTGTGATACACCAACTTCTCCCTCCACCGCCGTCCGACATCGTAGAGGTCCTCCACCCCCCTTGCTACCTGTCTAGTAGGCTCTGCGGTCTGCGTCGTGATCACAGGCTCTGGGGGTTGTCGCTGCAGGAGCCGCCACATGTCCGACTCGCACTCGCGGCTCGCCTTTGCATCTTCAGCCTCTGCGTACGCTTCCTGCGCCAGCTCATTCCTAATTCTGTTCTTCAAGGCTTCTCTCGTACGGTGTGTCTCGGGGAAGTCATAGGCGGAGTAGACGAGTACCTCCTTGGCCTCCTCGACGACCTCGCGTTCTGCGTCGTCCATGATTGCAGGCGCCTCATCACTGGATCCTTCAGAGACGGAGTCCTCATCGTCCGCTGAGTCCGACATTTCGTCTTTCTCGAATTTGATCTGCGGCGTCGGGGAGGTTTCGCCGGTAATAGGGGACCCGGGGAAATTCGTTCCGCTCCGTAGGATGTTCTCCACGCGGTCGTATGACATTGGCTCCTCGTCCTCGTCATCCCCAACATCTTCAGCATCATCATCATAGACGTCGAGTCGTAGCCTCCGCGCACATGTCGTCCAGAACTTGTCGCTGTTCTGCTTCATCCCCAACGACGCAACTGCCGCCTCGACATCCTTGCGTCTGACCAGGTTCCTCGTGGATGGTTCAACGTGCTTCTTGGCCCGTATCCGGGATCGCGCAATAAACAGTGTAGTGAGGATAATCTTCTCGGTGACAGAGACGAGAAGAGAGTGGAAATCCTGCAGCGCCGTCGCCCTGATCGTCGGCGGCTCCTCACTGACGTACTGCCAGTTATTCTCGGCGTTGGATGCGTTCATGAAGATGCGTTCGGAGAGGCGAAGGAAGCTCTTCATCCGAAGGACCTCGGTGAATGCCAGCCCATGATCGCTTGCCAACGTCGGGTCCTTTTCCAGGCCGTGGTCGCCTTCGATTCGTTTCGCGAGCTCCAGGTTGATATTCCAGCACTCACCCCACTTCTTCTGTTCGACAATCTCCTCGTGCCGTTCTTGGCGGAAAGAGAGCGCGTCGGCCGCTGCGTCGAGCGCGTGGCAGCATAGCGGACTGATTTCGACGGCTGCAGGGTAGTCTGCTAAATGTATTGGCTTGTTGGCTCCGTCCTGCTCCTTGTCCCTTCCCTCGACGGCCGCTTGCAGGAGAAGAATGTACTGGCGGACTTCAATTTCACTCTTGGTCTGGATCTTGGCCGAGATACCCGGTAAGTCGTCCTTGCCGAGTCTTGAGAGGGCTTCGAAGAAGAGCTTCTTCTCGTATGAGGTCCAAGTCGTCAGGCCAATCTGCGAAGGTGGCATATCATCGTCTCCTCCAACAATCGTCTGATGGACGACATCTTGAATTTCCTCATTCAAGAGATCCAAGTAGTTGTTGTTGAAGATGCCTTTGTGACGCTTGAGAACTGGCTCCACGATCTCATTTTGCGCCCGTCGCTTGTGGCTTGAGCAGCCTTCGTCTGTGCCATTTTCATCGTCGCCAGACGATACGACGGAATAAGCAGAATGCGATCTCTGGTGTTGGGTTATTTGCCGCTTTGGTGACTTTTCGAGGTCCTCGAGGTCATGGTCTCCTAGGTCCTCCTGATTTGGCAAATAATCGTCTTCCGGCTCCATGCTCATTTCCGTCTGAAACTCTGAAGTCGACGATTCGGCCTAGGCGGTGTGTCGCGTACATGTTGTGATGAGAGCACCAGAATAAAATTGTTGCCTCATAAGAAGCCGAGTTTCGCGTATTGAATTCCAGGCTTGGTGGATGTAATGGGTGGCTGCCTCTTGGATATGAGGTTTGTTGGTTTGGTATGAGATGAACGCTGCCTCCATATTGTGAAATTGAAGATTTCCCAGCATTGGGAACCACAAGTTTCCCATAGCGTGACTCTAACAGGCACGTGCCTAAAAGTCTGCTGCGAGTGTTACCAGGAAACTTCGAGTACATTTGGGCAAGTACCATCTAAGGCCTGTGGAGACAACATTCGGCGGTCGATTGGAGCAACTGCTCGTCCCTTGCCTTCCTGCACACCCAAGTTTCCGCAACAGCGACCCTCAAATACACTTATTACCTTACTTGGACATCCTTTTTCTTCTTCAAGTTCTTGTAGGATGGAGACCATTGCATCATGATACCCTTTGTCTCACGGAAGCTTTTGGCACCTTCCTTTACTGTAAATGAATTGAGACTTCCCATTCTTGTTAAATCCCCTGTTAAGAGACATCTTCCCTATGCTAGGGTACAATTTGCGAGCTCTCAGATAGAACTGAGAGACTATCAAGAAGAATGCATTCAATCTGTCCTACAGTCTCTCAAAGATGGACACAAGAGACTAGGAATCTCGCTGGCTACCGGTAGCGGCAAGACGGTTAGCCTCTGTGACGCAGTGTTGATGACTATAGACTAACAATCCCAGGTCATCTTCACCCAACTGATTCAAAGAGTTCAGCCGAGGGAAACCATCGCCACTCAGACTCTCATCCTCGCCCACAGGAGGGAACTTGTCGAGCAGGCGGCAAGGCACTGCACCAATGCATACCCCGATAGCACCGTAGAGATTGAGATGGGCTCCATGCATGCCTCTGGCACCGCAGACATTACCATTGCCAGCCTGCAGAGCATCACGTCTGGGGACCGACTCAACAAGTTCGACCCGCAAAGATTTAAGCTGGTTCTCGTCGACGAGGCGCATCACATTGTAGCTCCAGGTTATATGCGAGTACTGGGTCACTTTGGACTCGACAGTAAAAAAGTGAACTCGCCGTCTTTGGTGGGCGTTTCTGCCACCTTTTCTCGATTCGACGGCCTCAAGTTGGGCGCCGCGATTGACCAGATCGTCTATCACAAGGATTATGTTGACATGATCGGAGACAAGTGGCTCTCGGATGTCATGTTCACCACCGTCGAATCGACAGCAGACTTATCTAGGGTCAAAAATGGTGCCAATGGCGATTTCCAGCCGGGAGAACTGTCAAGGGCCGTTAATACGGACCAGATCAACGAAATCACCGTACGGAGCTGGCTGGCCAAGGCATCCGATCGGAAGTCGACTCTGGTCTTCTGCGTAGACCTTGCGCACGTCGCTGGTCTGACGCAGACGTTCCGCAAACACGGCTACGACGCAAGGTTCGTAACGGGAGACACGCACAAAGTCGAGAGAGCTAAGACCCTTGAGGATTTCCGCAGTGGAAAGTTTCCTGTGCTCGTGAACTGCGGAGTCTTCACGGAAGGAACCGATATCCCAAACATCGACTGCGTCATTCTTGCTCGTCCGACACGATCTCGGAATCTTCTGGTGCAGATGATCGGTAGAGGTATGAGGTTACACAAGGGAAAGTCCGACTGCCATATCATCGACATGGTTTCCAGTCTCCAAACCGGTATCGTGAGTGCGCCGACGCTTTTCGGTCTGGATCCGAGCGAGATCGTTAGCGAAGCGACTACGGCCGACATGGAGGAGATTAAGGGCAGGAAAGAAGCAGAGAAGCTCCGACAGGACCACGCTTACTCTGATGCTTCTGCACCTGAAGCTACTGCACCCACCAAGTCGGTGACTTTCACCGACTACGACTCCGTCTTTGATCTGATTCAGGACACATCCGGCGAGCAGCACATTCGGGCGATAAGCCAGTACGCGTGGGTTCAGGTTGGCCAAGATAAATACGTCCTCTGCGCGCCCAACGGATCCTACATCCGACTCTTCAAAGTAGACGCTAAAACGAAGTTCGACGACGACGACGGCGGCGACAAAGAGCAGCTCCTCTGGCAAGCCGTCGAAGTCCGCACCCTGCCCTCAGGCGTCGCCAAATCCCCCTTCGCCGCGCCCCGCGAGCTCCTCCAAGCCGCAACCTTCGCCGACGCGGTCCACGGCAGCGACAACTACGTCTCCAACTCGGAACTCTACCCCCACACATTCGTCCAACGCTGGCAACGCTGGCGCAAGGGCCCGCCGACGCCGGGACAGCTCGACTTTCTCAACAAGCTCCGGCCTAAGGAGGAGCCCCTGACGGCCGCCAACGTCGACAAGGGTAAGGCGATGGATATGATTACCAAGATCAGGCACGGTGCCAAAGGCCGTTTCGCGAGCTTGAAGACGGAGAAGCGGCGCGTCCAGCGGTCTCACGATAAAAAGGCACAGATGGAGGCGCGTGCGCGGCAGGAGAAGGTCTCGGTTGGTCCTATCTCTTCTTGATTGTATGCCTATGGGTTGTGAGGTTGGAGATTGAGTCTATTGCTTCTACATGGGGCATTTCTTTTCGCTATGGGATTTGAGGGGACATCTCTCTTGCCCAGGGGTTTGAGGGGTGTCGATGTTGTAAGACCACGGCTTTTGGAGGTCAGCCTTTTGAGACTATTCTAGTGTGCATGTCTAAATCATAGAGACTTGCAAGGGAGCGGTTGTAAGATAGGAGAAACCTGTACAGCATTTTTGAAAGCATCTGTAACTTGGGTCTATGTTATTCAAGATGTGAAGCTACATTTCAGAGGCCATTACCAGACACACTTTGCCAGCAAGAAGAACGGCCTCAGGGGGGTTAAAGGGGCTCGCAAGACACCTGGTTGTGGATTCGGTCTCGAGGTTGAACCGTTACATTCGTTCTTTGCTGGTCGAACGCAACTAATCGATCCGAATATCGACTTTCGTTGTCCACCAAGTCGAGATGATAGAGCTCCACCGAGTTTCCATTCCTCCTAACCGGCAAGTAAGATTCTCCCAGCCCCCGTTGCCTGTATTGATCACACATCACACTGGAAAAGGACAGTGGTTTGAATGACCATGGGTATCGTTGCGTTTCAAGGTCAAACTAAAAAAAAAGGCCTGCAGGTATCCATATAGTTCCGTCGTCATCTCCCGCTTGCAGTTCAGTCAGCCGCTGAATCTTGCGTCATACTGGCCTGCCGCCATAACAATTTTCCCTTTCACCGCCTGGCGGACTTGCTGAGCCAACCCACACCCAGAGAGTATAACTACCTATTTCCATCTTTTCCCAATTGACAATCCATGCTGACCTCGAGGTCTCGTATGCCCCTATATTTCAGCCCCTTTGGCGGCAGAGACAAATGTTGTGCGGGGCGTGATCTATATTGAATAGATCTGTAGAGGTTTGCGGGACCTGGCCGCTGGACTATCAGAATCGAGTTATGGGCGAAACCATGTGACCCCTCGACCTTTCGCTTTTTCGATTCCCCTGTGACCGTAATCATCAGGAGCGCTGAATGCATAAACAAACAAAGCCAAACCGCAAACAAGGTATCTTTTCTTTTTTGTCCTCCGCCTTTCGACTTCGGGGGTATAAAGAGTGGACGTGAACACGTGCGATAGCGACTATCGAAACCCGCAAGACTCTGAGACTAAATCAACTAAAATAAAGTACGGTTAAAGCAATAGCAACAAAGCAAGCAAAACAATAACTTCGGCCGACCGATGCATCGGAAGCAACGTTCCGGGGGTATTGTACGCCAGGGTATATCCAGCCGGGGTATTTTGCACGTAGTAGATTTTCTAAGACGGGAATCTAACGGAAAGGTCCGATGGGACCGGGGTATCCAGAATTCGTAGAATGAGACGTAGAAGGGCGCCCGCTGTCGCCGGACGCTCGAGTGCTGTGACGTGGCGTAACGTCACCAGGTTGGGGAATGGTCAGTTTATCGGAACCATTTCCAATGGGGCGGTGGGCCCATGGGTTGTCGTCGTCTGGAAGATTAACGCCGCTATCGTTCCAGGGGTTTCTGTCCGCATTGAAGCTGCGGGTAGACTCGATCGAAATAAGGGAAGACTTGGACACATTGCTAGATCCCTTGAAAAAGTTGGCGTGGGTCGAGTGAGAGCTGTTCTTGCGGCGGTCCAAGAAGGACGAGATGGAGGTCATGCTGCCAGGCTTGCGGAGACGGTCGAAGATCGTGCCTCGCTCGCGAGCAACCTCTCCCTCGAAGGCCGCCTTGGTTGGGGAATCGGCAGCGATGGTGGCCGGAGCATGCTGAAGAAGCTTCGAGTCAAAGTACTGAAGCGAGTCTTCGAAAGAATCGGACTTCGGCCGAGGGATCGAACCCTTCAAAATGGTCACCTCAACGCCAGCAGTGGCGAATTGAGCAAGAAGGAAGTCAATGGCGTCACGCAGGCCGCCGGCATTGTTGCGAGTAAACGTCCAGCGCAAGGCGAGAGCCGGCAAGCCATCCTCAGAATCGGCATCCTGATGGACGGTGACCTCAACTTCATACTGCGTCTTCAGTTTCGGAACAAGGTCGTGAGCGAAGCTGGGCGACTCGAGGAACTTGATGAACTCTGGGGTACGGGTGAGAACCAACTCGTGGTTGTCAGGAACCATGCCCTGGCCAGAGTCAGTATAAAATATTCAACAGCAAAAGGCCGATCGGAGGTCATACCAAGAATTCATCGACACAATGAGGCACCTGCCACTGTGGACCAGTCACAGTGACCTCATCGCTAGCCTGCTCAGTGCTCGGGAACACGATCTTGCAGTTGTACTTGCCCTCAAGCTCGTCAATCTCGCCGAGGCGAGCCAAAAGCTGACGATGATACAGGCGGTCAACGTTGACGATCTGCGAGGTGTACTCGGAGTCCTGTAGCAAGTCGATTAGCGTGGCAATTCGGGTGATTGAACCGGTCAACTTACGGCTCTGTCGACCATTTCCAGAATCTCGTTCTTGACAGCATCGAGATTCTGGGCGTTCCTTGCAGGAGTACGGCAAATGACGTTGTCGACCTTGACATCGTCATCCTCACGACCCATTCCTCCGCGGTCCATAGCGTTGGAGAACTTGACAAACACAGAGTGCTTCTTCATGATGCGCTGGATATGCTGTCCTCCAATGCCAATGATTCGCTTGTGGTACTGATCAGGAACGTGGAAGGAGATGGAAGCAGGCATCTCCTGTTCGACAAGTGTTAGGCCCTGCTTCATCGAGTCGTAGCTGGCAGCCATGACATCAATGTTGAAGTTGTACTCGTTGAAGCCGTCGAATATGATCTGTACACTGCTTTGACCCATGATTTTGTTGATTTTGCCATTCTTCTTGCCGCTCACAAATTCCTTGTGCTCATTGGCAAGTTCAATCTTGACTCGGATTTGGTACTGGGACTGGACAAGAAATTTGATCTCAGACATGACCATCAAGGCGGCCTTTACAGCATCATCGGAACCGGTGATTGAGAAGTTCATCTTGTCGAAAGACAGGTCGGCATCCGAGTTGGCACAAACATCACCAAGCATGGTTCTGACGTCAGCGGGGTTCGGAAGCTGGCGACTGTCGGGCTGTTGGATCCACCAAGCTGCGCTGTAGAATTGTCCAGCCTATGATAGATTGTTAGATTTGGGCGGTCGTCTGGTTCTCCTGCACAACTTACCAAGGCCATGACCTCGCGGACGGTGCGCTCAACATGCAGTCCTTCGCTTCCCTGGACACGAACCATATTGCGCTGGCTTGCCAGAGGAGGGAACAAGATGTAGGTGCCATTGGCTTCAAGGATCTTCCGAACCTTGTCAAGACGGGTGAGCAAGACGCTGTCAATTTTGGCGGGCGAGATAGTGACATCCTTCATGTACAGGCGGATGCGGGAAACAGTCTCGTGGAGCTTCTGCTTGGCAAGTTCAATAGCCTGAGGGCTCTCGCCCGTGATGAAGATGTCTGTAGGGTCACGACGGCTTGCACCGGGCGGGCAGTATCGGTACATCTGAGAGAAGGGAGGCGGGAAGTAGATGGCAGTACCAGTCGAGGACTCAATGAGCTTAATGTTCTTCCGGTGGCGGCCGCACACAAGTTGGTGAATCGACAGGTCAAGCTTGGTGGCATCGACAACTCGGCCGAGCTACAATGCGGTTAGCGAGGTGAGACAGAATCATGCCGTTGATTGGCCAGGCTTACCAGAGTGTCAATTTGGATGAGCACACGGGCCTTTGCATGCTCGACGGAGAGGATATCACCATAGATGGCTACTCGCCATCTTTGATCAACGCGCATCTCGGCGTCACCCGTCATGCCATCAACCACGGGTGTCAATTTGGGACCCAGCAAGAAAATGTCGACCCCGCAATACTTGGAGATGTAATCCAAGGTGTCCGTCACTTGCTGCTTCAACGCACCGGCGGTCAGGTCACAGACGAGGTGGCCCTCGACATCAACAGTCGTACAACGCTAGATTGACACAGGTTAATCCACGGTCCAACGCCCTTTTCCGTATTTGTAAAAACCTACCAGGACAGTCTGGTTGTCGTTCAAAATCGTCTCCCTGCTCTTGTTGACCATTTCCGGAGTTCCCGACAGGCAAACAGTGGTGACCTGCTGTCCCTTTGCATTCTTGGGTGTCGTCGAGATGACATGAGCCTCGATCTGGAAAGGCCCGCTGGTGATGTCCTTGCAGACCTTGCGCAAGTTGGCAAGATTCTGGGTATGAACGGGCAGCTCGTGAACCTGGACGTCATCGGCAACTTCCTCGGGGTGGGTCCAGCGCAGGACAGCATCGTCGGTAGCGTGAAGGATGTCCTCAGTATTGGGACCGGCGAGGTCAGAGGCGAATGGCACATTGAAGGAGTAGTGAATGATCGGTGTCGGAGCATCGAGAGGCTGGGGCGAGCTTATTGAAGCAGGCTGTTGAGGAACTGTATCTCTTCTCGGGTTCATGGGGTTCATGGGCATGTTGGGACGACCCATTCCGAAGTTGGGGCTCATCCTCTCGGACCAGTGACGCATGTTCGCCAGTTTGTTCATATTGCGAGCTCGCAAAGACAGTCGTGGGGACAGGGAGGGGAGGAGGCCACGAAACCGGACCACGAACAACAATTGAGGGTATCGAAACACACGAAGGGGGCAGGGCAAAGGAGAAAAAAGGAAAAGGGGGGATGAAGAAAAAAAAGAAGAGGTGTCGCTTCTCGAAGCTCTCTCTCAGACTCGGTGAAGGGTCTGCAGAGAGAAGATTGCTGGAGAGAAGAAGATGTGTAGGATGGGTGTGTGAGAGTGGAAGAACTCAAGAGAAGAGGAGTCGAGAGATTCAGAATGCAGCGAAAGATGGTCATAGGTGCCCGTGGTGGTCAAGGCCGCACTGCGGCAGGCCCAGGCCAGACCAAGCAAGGCATGGCATGCTATGGCAAGGTGGTCCGGCCACTCCCAGTTCCCCGTCCCAGTCCCAGTCCCAGTCCTAGGTCAGGGCCCCAGTTTTACGGCCAACCAGCCAGTCCCTCGACTTTTAGTGGTGTGTGGCCCCTCTCCTAACAGGACACCAGAGGCTCCTCCTCCTCCTCCTCCTCCTCCTCCTCAGTCCCAGATGTTCCCCCGTCCCAGTATTAGGTACATGTAAAGGTACATCCGCGGTCGCGCTAATGTCGCGGTAACGCGAGGTATCTTGCCATATCCACTCTGTCTTGGGCCCACGGACACCGGACACTGGCACACACTGGGGCCCCTGTTGAACTGAGAGTGGCCAGTGGTGGTG